ATAAGCGGGAGAAGAAAAGCCAAAGATATCAGGCTCTTCTTAACAGCCCACTCTAGTGGGAACTAATCCATTTGGGGAGAGCAAGAACTCACCCACCTCTGAGGGAGGGCAATAATCTACCCAGAAAGGATGCACCTCCTGGACCCAAACACCTCTCACCAAGCCCCACCTCCCAGTGCGGCCACATTGGGAATCAACTTTCAACTTCAGTTTTGGTTGGGACAAATCGCATCCAAACCATGGCACGCTCTCATGAAGACACACCACAAGAGATTTATTAAACCACATTTAGATTTCCAAATACGTACTCTGGTAAAACTTTAGATGAAAGTTTCCCTAAGCCCTTAAATGTGCCTAATGTTCAGAAAGAATCATTAGACCTTAAAGAAATTCATCAAGAAGCTGGATAACTGTGGCCCCCTGTTGGGTAAAGAGTCAACTCTGAGTCCTTTGAGCAGATTTAATCAATGATTCTAAGAGCCAAGAGCTTCAGAGAAAAATCTACTTAACTCTTTCCTTTCAAGGAGAGACTTCTCTCAATAAGAGAATTGATGAAGGGCTTTCCTAAATTAAAACTTTGGATTGTTCAAAAATGCCCTGTTACTTGATGAATTCATACTATCAGTCAACAGAAAATATTCATACAGCTGCTACCTATGCTGATGTTGGAGAGTCTGCAAGGACACTTGTGTACTAAAACAGAGCTGCATGCAACGAATCCTGAGAAAAAAATCTTAAGTATTATGTATATCTCTATAATAGAACAAACTAAAATTAAAAATAAAACTATTTCATTTAAAATTTTAAAAATATGTTAAGGTCCAAAAAAAAAAGAAAAGAAAAGAAAAAAATATATAGTACAAAATATATTACTAAATATAGTAATGGAACTTAAAGGTTATATAATATCTATACCTGTTCTTCTAGAAACCTATTCCCCCATTACCACAATGAGTACTCACTTTCCTACTTTATCACACACTAGTCCGCTTAAATCTCACTGCAAAAAAAAAAATCTACCAGTCATTTATAACTTACTATGAATTTAAGGTAATATATGATTTCTCCCAGGGCATTTAAGTTTTACCTCTAAGGTAAGATACAGTAAATTATGAATAACACATTTTAGGAGGAATGTTAACAACTTCATTTGCTCAAGTTTATGAGTTTATTACTCCTGATACCTATCCTCTTGGGTAAATAATTTTAAATGACCTACTGAGTATCAGTACCTTTTTGCTATCAAAACGTGTATACTTCAATTTTGAATCCAATGTCTGTTTTGGCCAAAAGAAAAAAAAAAAGATAAGCTCATGAACATTAATCTCTGATTACTTACCTAAAATAGTCATAGGATGGTACCAATGACACTTATTGAACAAACACCCACTCTCTTATTATTAATAGGGTCTAGCTATTATTTTTCAAAGATAATAATAAAAAAAATCAGAAAAATAAAAGAACTTGGGATGGATAAATGCCCCCTGGGGGAAATAAAAACAATAATTACAACCTTTAATCACATTTCCATGAAGGAAAGCAATCAGTGTAAAGTACTGAATACATAAGTAGTTTCAACTCAACTCGCAACACATCCCAGCACAGGGTAGGGCTCCAGCCACACCATTTGATTTCTCCCACACAAGCCCATGTAATATTACAGTCAGCAAATACCCTTGTTCACTATCAGTTACTCTTTGGCTTTAAGGTCAGAGTTTTGCACAATTCCTATTGATGCAGGATTCCCCTAGTTGGGGCTGGACAGGGATGCCCCCATTCTCTAGGCCCAGGAGAGCTCAGAAATCAGACCCCCATTTTCAGGCACAAACAGGCCGCCTTTTCCAGGCCACATCCTCTGGGCTCTATCAAGGTCATGAACAAAGATGGCTGAAACATTTGGGGTAGTTCCACCTTGAGTAGGGAGCACACACCCTAATCCCTTCCCTGAGATAACCTTGCCCTACTGGAGGAGGGACTGCATTTCACTCATTTGTTAATGCACTCATTAACTTTCAAAAGATGATTTTCCACCTACCTAGTCCTGGCCAAAATGTAATATATATCCCTAGGCCAGCAGTTCTCAACCTGTGGTCCCGACTCCCAAGTACTGTATTAAAAGTTTGCAGCATTAGGAAGGTTGAAAACCACTGCCCTAGACAAAGGGCCCATGTGAGAGATTTCCAACTTAGGTCTCTCCCTTTGCCAGAAGCTTTTTACTCTTTCTGTATTCCTTTCTGTCTAATAAAATCCTATCTTTTTTTTTTTTTTAGAGACAGAGCCTCAAGCTGTCGCCCTGGGTAGAGTACCATGGCATCACAGCTCACGACAACCTTCAACTCCTGGGCTCAAGCGATTCTCCTGCCTCCGCCTCCCAAGTAGCTGGGACTACAGGAACCCACCACAACGCCTGGCTATTTTTTGGTTTTAGCTGTCATTGTTGTTTGGTGGCCTGGGGGCTGGATTCGAACCTGCCAGCTCAGGTGTATGTGGCTGGCACCTTAGCCACTTGAGCCACAGGCGCTGAGCCATAAAATCCTATCTTACCATTGATCTGTGGTCCATGGGTTCATTCTTAGAATCCCCCAGACCAAGGACCTACTGAAGAAGAAATTCCGATATCACTATTATGTTATGTGTAAAGGGAAGAGTAGTTCTTACTGTGGCTCACTATATTCTGTGTGTCATGCCAGATGTTCTATGTACCATGTGCGTTACCTCACTTAATCTTCACAATTACTATATGGCCTACCCTTCATCCACCACATTTTTTTTTTTTTTTGAGACAGAGTCTCACTATGTTACCCTGGGTAGAGTGCCATGGCATCACAGCTCACAGCAGCCTCAAATTATTGGGCTTAAGCGATTCTCTTGCCTCAGTCTCCCAAGTACCCGGGACTACAGGCACCCCCCACAATGCCCAGCTATTTTTTTTTTTGTTGCAGTTGTCATTGGTGTTCTAGCTTCCTGGCCTGGGTTAGAAATGGCCAGTCTGGGTGCATGTGGTGGGTACCCTACCTAGTAAGCTATGGGTGCCACCATCACATTTTTTTTTAGGTATAAAAACTTGAAAATCATAGAAGAATGAGAATTTGAATCCCACTCAGTCTGACTTCAAAAATGAAGCTATATTTGATTAAATGTACTTACTTGAAGAAAATCTTAATCAAGGTGGTCTAGAACTACATAACCTAATTCTTGAACTGAGATGAGAGATCAACGTTTGAAACTAAAGCGAGCTAAGTTTTGAAAGAAAACTTCTAGAAAAGATGTGTTCTGTGGTTACTTGTACATGTCATACATCTCTTATTATCTTCTCATTGCTCTTCGATTTGCAGAAAAGTCGAATGCTCTCCAGATCCCTGCTCCCTCAGTCTCATGCTCTGAGTAATGCCTTTATTTGTACTTAAATATGTACTTAACACACACTTGGGCAGAAGGAGCTTGGGATGTAGGTGTACCTCTTCAACAGCAGGCATCTAACATGTGCTAAAATACTCCTGAGTATAAGCAGACAGGGCTTAAGCTGGCATTGTCTCCAAAACAAACACACAAACCCCCTACATTATGGAGCACGGTGATTGCCAACACTGTCTAGGAGTATCTGTTGGAAACTGAATTAGAGTGGAAACCACCACCTGCTGGGCACGGATTCAAACACTGCCTCCCCCGCCTCCTCATCGCCTTCTGCAGTTTCTCCTTTGTGGCACAGGTTTTGACAAGGCAGCTGGTTTTCCCAGTGCTTTCAAATGCTCTGTGACAAGACATCAAAAACCTTAAAGCACCATCCCTCCTTTAAAAGAGAAGTCATTAGACGCGCACATGCGCAAGTTAGTCCGCATTAGCGCTACAGTAACTGCGCTGGGCGCTGGCGGTAAACACCTCCCCAGTCGCGCCTCGCAGGGACACATCTGCCTGCTCCGCTGACGCGGCCGAACCCCAGGCCCGGGCGCGGGCGCTGGGCAGGTGACCAAGGCAGCGCTGTGAAGGAGCTGGCTCGGGTCCAGTGTTCATTGAGAACCCTGCTCCTGTCTGCAGGGCAGGATTTAAAAGGTACAGATCTGGAAGGCTGAGAAAAGTACTTAAGGTCAAGTGTACAAAACACAGAGTGGACAGAAGTCAAAACGGCAAGATTTCAGCGACAGCAAGGTTCCCCACAACTACATATTCCCTTTGGTGAGAAATTTTAAATGGCACAAATGAAGTGTCTTTCCTTGGTACCAATTAAAATTGCCTTGCCCAGGAAAAGTGGCTCTCTATACCATCAGTCTTTCTTTCACATTTCAGTGGCAACTGAATTACCTACCATTCCCTCAGATAGCTTTTAATAGGGCAGAGGCACCCTCAAAGTGGACACCTCAGGGTTGGAGAAAGCACCCCAGCAAGGAGCTGGTGCACCCAGAGGCAAACTTTACATATTAAAGAGCTGAATTTTAAAGGAATCCTCTTTGTTTTTTGTTTTAAAATCTCTAAAGAGGAATAATGAACAAGAAATTTAAAATCTGTTAATTAAAATAACAGAGATTGTCTACAGATTTCTTCATTTTGGTCTACCAATTAAGATCAGTACATGCTCTGCTTTAGTCCATTTAGGTAATTGAAGATGTTGGTCAAAGGGTACAAAGTTTTAGCTGGATAGCAAGAATAGGGGGATGTCAAATTAATTCAGCCTCTTTAGAAAGAAGTACAGAGAATGCTTAAAGAACTAAATGTAGACCGTTTGATCTCACAATCTCATTACTAGGTATTTACTCAGAAGAAAACATCGTTTTACTATAAAGAATAAGAAGTTTCTGAGATCTATTGCCCAACGTGGTGACTATAATTAATAGTAATATATTCTCTACTTCAAAATTGCTCAGAGACTAGATTTCAAAAATTCTCAACACAAAAAAAATAAGTATGTGAAGTGACAGATGTTAATCATTCCACATCATATTGATATATCAAAATAACACACTATACCCCATTAACATATACAATTATTTGTTAATTTTTTTTACCTATTGCTGAGCCAACAAACAGATTCACTGAAATCACATGTTGCAATGGACACATACATTAACTTCCAATTCATTTGTCTGGTAACTGTTCTTCCATGGTTCCTAGCCACTATTCCATTTCAGACCAGTCTATACATAATCCAGGTAATCTGTGTTTTATTTTGAATTCCTAATAACAAAAAAAAAAAAAAAGGCTAAAAAGAACAGATAAGTAGTAGCTCGCCATATATGGAACATAAAGGTTATATGAATAATAAAACATATTTAAGTACTGCATATAAAGAGGCAATATAGTTTCCATACTGAGAGCATAGTCCGGAGTCACATGGATCAGAGCTGAATCCCAACTCACATTCTCTTGCTAGCTATACATACAAGTGTGGGTAATTTAGTTGCCTTACCTCTCAAAATATCAGCTCTCTCACTTGTAAAATCAGGATAGAAACAGGATAAGAGGAAAGTACAGGATAATGCATGCACTTGGCAATGCCTTACATATTCTAAGTTCTCAGTAAATATTAACTTTCATTGTAATAGTTGTATGAGCATTCCTGTCCTCCTGAGGGTAAAAACATTTTCCTTTTAAAATCTTTTAAGTAAATCAATTTTAAGAAAATCAATTATATTGTGACATAATTACTTGATTATCATGTGATAATGTTACATAATGTTGATAATGACCAAGTAATTCTATAATAATATATTGTTTTTCTACAGGTACATATCAAAGTGTTAGGGGAAAATGGCATGATGTCATAGATGTACCCTAAAATATTATAGCAGAAAAGGGGACTAGTAAAACATACATGGTAATATTGATTACTGTTGAATTTGGGGGACAGGTATATGAATTCATCACACTAGTCTCCCTGCTGCTATGTTTGAAAACTTTCCTAGTTAAAAGGCTAACACGAATCTACTCATTTATCCACATATTTTTATTAAGAACCTTCCAAGAGGACATGGAGTTGAGGCAGCTTCTCCCATTCTCCCAACAAGACATCTGAGGGATTAAAAATTCCTTTCTTCATCAGCAACTCTCCTTGTCTCAGTAACTAGATCTTTGTGCAATGAGCAACTGGCCCTAGACTGAGACCTCATTATGGTTTTGACAACAGGACTGTTAATTTTCACATATAATTTATCTTCCAACATTTTATAATCCCTAACATGTTTATCACTATATTTCCCTTGTCGTAATTCAAGAGTTTTAAAACAGCCTGAATTATTAACTTTCCAATTCAATGGGCAGAGAGATGTCCATTATCTTGCACTCCCACCAAACTGTCCTTAAATAGATAATTGAGGTGGGCAGGCATTGTACATAAATTTAAAGAACTACAACATGCAACAATGTCCACATAATACTTGGAACTAGGGCAGCGCCTGTGGCTCAGTGGGTAGGGTGGCATGTTCGAATCCAGCCCCAGCCCACCAAACAACAATGGCAACTGCAACAAAAAATAGCCAGGCATTGCCTGTAGTCCCAGCTACCTGGGAGACTGAGGCAAGAGAAATGCTTAAGCCTGAGAGTTTGAGGTTGCTGTGAGCTGTGATGCCACGATACTGGGGTGACAGCTTGAGACTCTGTCTCAAAAAAAAGAAAGTCCAGAGGTAAAGAAATCAGTTATGAAGCCACCATTGTGATTTAGGTAAGATAAAATGAGCTGCCTAGCCTAACAACAGAAGAAAAGAGGAAGAGGTGAATCCTCAAGATCTTTTTATGGAAGAAACAGTGAGACTGTAATCAATATTCTGCCCTGCGGAGGCACAAATACAAAATAAAAGGTTCTCACATAAAGATGCACTAAATCAAGGTGTATATTCATTAAACACCTAGAAAAAAAGAAAATACATAATAATGTATCTATCATCAGGGGGCTGGGCAGGTGGGGTACACTGACCACTGAAACTTAGAGCCTTGAAAGCCAGAGAAGATGGTGCTGGCCAGAGAAGGAAGGGAAAGGTCTGAACTGGAAGCAGAGGGAACACTACAGACCTAGAGTTCCACTGAAGGTCCATTTCAAGGAACCATCAGAAGAAATAAGGACGTTCAGAAGTGGGAGGATTCTCAGAGATCACATGTCCACTATTTTTTAGGGCAGTTTTATATGCACAGGAAAAATTAAGCAGAAGGTACAGAGATTTCCTACACATGTGTGGCCCTCTCCCCACACATACGTAGCCTCCCCCTTGTCAGCTTCTCCCCCATGCCCCCTGAGTGGTACAAATATTCCAGCTAATGAGCCTACACTGTCATGTGTCTGTTTTACAGATTTGGAAAG